GTGCTTGAAAAACTTCCCGCATTTTTCTCTGGATTATACCACACTAATATTAGTGTAGTTGAATCACATGCCATAGTAAACAAGGAGTTTACTAATGATTTTATTATTTGGCAACCGGTTCGGCCATCCCGGTTATAATATGATGCGCAAAATAATTGAGAATTCACATGGTCATTCATTGAAGAACCAAAAGATTCTTCAAACTAAAGAATTTTCTTGTGCTGCATGTTCTCAAGGAAAACTGATTATTAGACCATCAGTAATTAACATTGGAGTTGAATCTCCTGCATTTTTGGAACGTATACAGGGTGATATATGTGGGCCCATACACCCTCCATATGGACCATTCAGATATTATATGGTTTTGATAGATGCATCTACAAGATGGTCACATGTGTGCTTGTTATCAACCCGCAATTTGACCTTTGTGAGGTTACTAGCTCAATTAATAAGATTACGAGCACAGTTTCCAGATTATACAATTAAGACACTTCGTCTTGATAATGCTGGTAAATTTACGTCCCAGGCCTTTAATGATTATTGCATATTAACTGGGATAACAATTGAGCATCCGGTTGCTCATGTTCATACTCAAAATGGTCTAGCGGAATCATTGATCAAACGCCTCCAATTAATTGCTAGACCAATGCTTATGAGAACAAAACTTCCCATTTCGGCATGGGGCCATGCTATTTTGCATGCAGCAGCTCTTGTGCAGATCAGACCCACAAGTTATCATAAAATCTCCCCAATACAATTGGCTTTTGGTCAGGAGCCAAATATTTTCCATCTTAGAATATTTGGATGTGCAATATATGTTCCAACTGCTCCACCACAATGCACAAAGATGGGACCCCAAAGAAGATTGGGGATATATGTTGGGTATGAATCTCTTTCTATTATAAAATATTTGGAACCTATAACTGGAGATTTATTTATGGGAAGATTTACTGATTGTCATTTTGATGAATCAGTATACCCAATATTAGGGGGAGAAAATAAGCAGCTGCAAAAGGAGATAGATTGCAATGAATTATCACTATCTCATTTAGATCCTCGAATAAATCAATGTGAACACGAGATTCAAAAGATAATTTATTTGCAAAATTTTGTAAATCAACTACCTGATGCATTCACTAACCTACCAGGGTGACTAAGTCGCATATTCCAACTGCTAATGCTCCTATTCGAATTGATATCCCGGTTGGACAATCTATAAATGCAAATGAGTTTAAGCCACGCTTGAAACGTGGTAGACCAATTGGTTCCAAAGATAAAAATCCTCGAAAGAGAAAAGAAGCAAATGATCTAGGAGATCATAATATGGAGGTAATTGCTCAAAAAGAGCCATGTGACATAACAAATGATAAGACCTCAGAGGAGGTCCAGGTACCTGAAAATAATAAGAATGAAAAGATCTCAATAAGTTATGTCTCTACGGCAAAAAGGTGAAACCGAAATAATATTATTGTCGACAATATTTTTGCTTATAATGTTGCTGTTGAAATAATGCAACAAGATGAGGATCTTGAACCAAGATTTATTGATGAATGTAGACAGAGAAATGATTGGCAAAATTGAAAAGACGCTATCCAGGCAGAATTAGCGTCACTTGAAAAAACGTGAAGTATTCGGACGTATAGTCCGAACACCTGAAGGAATAAAGCCAGTGGAATACAAATGGGTTTTTGTGCGAAGACGAAATGATAAAAATGAAGTCGTTAGATATAAAGCACGACTTGTGGCACAAGGATTTTTGCAAAGATCTGGCATTGATTATATAGAGACATATTCTCATGTGGTGGATGCAATCACTTTCAGGTATCTTATAAATTTGACAATCCATGAAAAACTTGATATGCGTCTAATGGATGTTGTCACGGCCTATTTGTATGGCACATTAGACAACGAAATTTATATAAAAATCCCTGAAAGGCTCAAAGTTCCTGAAACTAATAAAAGTTTTCGGGAAAATTGTTCAATAAAGCTTCAAAAATCCTTATATGGATTGAAACAATCAGGGCGAATGTGGTATAATCGCCTGAGTGAGTATTTGCTGAAAGAAGGGTATAAGAATGATTCAATTTGTCCTTATGTATTTATAAGAAGGTATGGATTTGAATTTGTTATAATCGTTGTATATGTTGATGATCTAAATATCATTGGAACTCCTGAGAAACTTTCAAAAGCAGTAGACTGTTTGAAGAAAGAGTTTGAAATGAAAGATCTAAAGACAAAATTTTGTCTTGGTCTACAAATTGAGCATATGAAAGATGAAATTTTTGTCTATCAATCAACTTATACCGAAAAGATTCTAAAGCGTTTTTATATGGATAAAGCACATCCATTAAGTACCCCGATGGTTGTGAGATCACTTGATATAAATAAAGATCCATTTCGACCTCATGAAAATGATGGAGAGCTTCTTGGTGATGAAACTCCATATCTTAGTGCAATTGGGGCACTAATGTATCTTACAAATAATACTTGACCAGATATAAGNATAATACTCGACCAGATATAACTTTTGCAGTAAGTTTATTAGCAAGATTTAGTTCCTTTCCAACAACAAGACACTGGAATGGTGTTAAGCATATTTTTAGATACCTCCGAGGGACTATTGATATGGAATTATTTTATTCTTATGAATCCGATTCACAGTTGATTGGTTATGCAGGTGCAGGTTATTTGTCTGACCCACATAAAGCCCGATCTCAAACAGGCTATCTATTTACTTGTGGGGGTACAACTATTTCATGGCGTTCAACAAAACAAACTTTAGCTGCTACATCTTCCAATCATGCAGAGATAATAGCTATTCATGAAGCTAGTCGAGAATGTGTATGGTTGAGATCAGTGACTCAACATATTCAACAATTGTGTGGTCTTTCTATAAAAACGAAGATTCCAACGATATTGTATGAAGACAATGCTGCTTGCATAGCTCAACTTAAAGGAGGATATATCAAAGGAGACAGAACAAAACACATTTCACCAAAGTTCTTTTTCACACACGATCTTCAGCAAAATGGTGAGATAGATGTTCAACAAATCCGTTCAAGTGACAATCTAGCAGGTTTATTCACTAAGGCATTGCCAACATCAACATTTGAGAAGCTGAGACATAAGATTGTCAAATAAAGTTTTTATCAGGGGGAGTATAATACGCGCTGTACTTTTTTTCCCTTAACCAAGGTTTTGTCCCAATTGGATTTTCCTGGTAAGATTTTTAATGAGGCAGAACTCAATGCGTATTACAAGATATGTGTACTTTTTTTCCTTCACTAGGCTTTTTCTCACTGGATTTTCCTAGTAAGGTTTTAACGAGGCACATTATCTTTTAGATGGACATCCAAGGGGGAGTGTTATGAATATGTTAAAGTGGATGTCCATTGAATACTCTTAGACATCCCTATTCCATGAACCATTTGAGTTCATGTACTTAGTTAATTCATCACTTAATATTTGTAACCTTTAGGAGTATTCTTGTAACTTTTCATGTATCTTATATCCTATAAATAGGGTATTCTTTATCCTATGATGTACATAGAAGAAACACACTTGAATAAAATAAATTCTACATTCTCCTCATATACATCTTGTCTCCGTTAGTATATTGTTCTATTTTGCTCTCATTTCTTAATATTAGTGTATTATTCTTTTTACACTTCTATTTCCCTTTCGGAACGTTTATATTTGATTTTGAATTCTAGAAAAACTATTTTTCGAAAATTGCATTTTTTAAACAGATTTGTAAAAAGGTGTGTTTGAACTAGTTTTGGTTATGGTTTTAGAAAAGCTACTCACGTATTCACGTTTTGAATAAATAAAAATTAGTATGACCTTTATATCATATGCTTTCTAGATTATATTTCATACCTTCACCTACGTAATCTTAAAACTCAAGACTTTTATTTAAACTTTTTCTATCACGTGGGGCAAAGAACTGGGAGAGAAAAGGAGGCAATGAGAATAGAATTCACACTTACTGTGTGAAAGGTTTCAACAATACCACTAGACTATAAGTTTTGGTGGAACTCAATCTTCGACAACAAAGCTCATTCTATATCAAAGGTAAATAAGAGAAATAAAGGGAAGATATCAACCAAATTGGACTTAATCACAAAATGGGACAATAGTGGAAACAGTTGCATACATGATCCATGACCTCTGTGTATCAGAGTCTTGTATGGCTCCGTTTTGTTTGCCCCCTAACATCATTGACTGAGACAAGTACTAACATACAATATCACATAGCCAATTTGACATTAATGCTCTTTATCCAAATGCTAAAGTTTAAATGTTTAGCAGAAAAGTAGTATGTACTGGTTCTCCTTATCTTTTCTTTAGAACTCATTCAGGTGCTTCCCATTGCACAGTTTTCTTCTTTCAGAATTCATTTACTGTTAGGCTACGGTCCTCAAATCGGCATCCGTTTACCCATTTTAACCCTGTTACGTGGAAAGAACTGCACAACACAAAGGAAACAGTTCTTAGCTTCAATCCAGAAAATGCTTTGTCTAATAATGAACATCCAACGCTTTGCTTCTAACAAGTTAACAGATATGAAAAAGATTCTTCAATACTAACAAATGTGTATAAGACAGTTGGAAGCTACAAATTATAATGGGCGTGATTGTACAACAACCAGTCAACAAAAACTTCTCTATACTATAAATTTATGAACTATCCAGAAATGAATTTCAGGAATCCAACAAAGAGACAAAATTCCTTAGGCGTAACCAGTTGACAACCATAATGTGATGCATGAAAGAATCTGAAGCATATTGCACATATAACTTTTAATGTTACTAGAGAAGATACATATACAAAATAGTGACATACAGATGACACAGATGATTGGCGAAAGATTCCACCAATGATAGGTAACTTCCTCAGAAAAACAGCAACGGTGGGCCAAAAACCACTGCATTACATAGTATGCCTTATTAGCCAACACTGTTTATTCTTGGCGAGACACAAGGATGCAAGAAAAAGGGTTACCTGAACAGCACAAAAAGACCGCAGGTCTCCCAAATCATGCCTAGCACAGGCCATCCCAGCATAATAAGCACGAAACCAACAGCAAAGGAGGCAGAACCCTATCAGATAATTAAAGCTTTGGCATATGAAAATGGAGATTGCAAAGGAAAAAAAAGGTAATAGCAAAGACATAGATGAAGCAGGACATAGCATAGTGGGTCCGTGAACTTGGAACCTTCAAATTTTGTCGTTTCATGAAAATTTGCAAGGTAGACATCAGTCCAATGGTTAAGGTCACCCCAGACAGAAGGAGGATCTGATCACACAAAAAGTTCCATCAAAGATGATACGAAGTACAAACAAACATATTAAAGGGCTCAAGCACAAAGCATTAGAGGATGAACAACAAAACAGTTGTCATATTGACAATAAAGAAAATCTTACATTCCCAATGGCAACGAAACTCCTCTCAAAGAAGAGAAACACTCCAAGCAGAGTAAAAATTACACCAAATCCAGTCAATCCAAGCCCAATCTCTGTCACATGTCAGAGAAAGTAAGAACTTGAGACAACAAATAAGGCAACATTATCACAGCATATTAAACCAACCACGAAACCACCATAAGCTTCAGTTTTGCTTCAGAACAGTGAGGAGGTTGTTTAAAAATATGGTTTGTAAAACCATATTCAAGAAAAGATAGAAGACTTCTCTTCGAAATTGATAGTGATTTAGCACAGTACAATATATATGTTAATTTCTTGATAAGTTTCCACAATAGAATATGACGATAGAGCACCACATGATCCTACGTCTTTATCGCCTTTAATCAATGTCAGTTTTTGACAATTATGCTTTACTCTTGGGAGATAACTTCTAACCTAGCATATACAAGGAAAGAAATTTATAAAATTAGTTCAAATTGTACATTCCACAAATGAAAATTTTGATAAGTTTACGTGGTGAACTAAAGAACTGATAGAACTTTATACTTCACTTTTTGTTTTCTACAACGTCATTTACTACTTTTTCTTGGATCAAAGTACATCATCAGTAATACCATGCTGTAGCTTTCTGGAGCCATTTTACAATCTCAGATGAGATTGAAGGTTTTGATTTCCCATGGTTGAGGAACTGTGTATTTGGAACAAGCATGTCAAAATCACTAGGAACATAAACTTTTTTACAGGAGTCCTGAAAAACATATGCCATTCAACTTTCAAATATCCAGGAAAGAGCCAGCTAATTCTCTTGGTGTTCTGCAGCAAAACTGAATGACTAGAGATCGATAAATATACCTTCGTGTAAGTTCAAAATCAAATGAATAAAAGAAGCAAGATCAAATAAAACGTACTGGAGTTTATCTTAAAACTAGCAAATTTTAAGATAGAAACTGAATTCACTATGTAAGAAATAGACGTTATGTTTGCTGCTGATGAGTGAAATTGCTATTAGGCAGAGACTGACTACTGGCAATCTTGAGGGTACTTCCAAAAATTGTTCAAACTCACCTTTAAGGCATCCTATTCCCCGTTTTGGCTTTCTTTTGGAATCGTCTTCATCTAAAGAAGATTTTCTTCCTTGTTCTTTCCTCCTCCTGTGATCTTGACTTTCTAAGTGATTTCCGAAATCTCCCATTATGACTATTACCCAACAGAAAATAAGAGCTTTAGTTTCGGCCCATTGGGATGGGGGTTGGAAAAAAGAGAGATCATATAATATTTCTGAAGAAAGTCATCTTAAATCTGACTAAATATTACTACCTACATACATACTATGATGCTGAAATTTAATAAGATAATTAAACAAACACAAATAATTACACCAAAATCTCGAATACAACTTAAGTTTTCTGCCTGGAGAAATCGAAGTAAAATAATTGATCTGCAAAACAACATTGTATTAACAGCTCATGCAAAATGAAGAAAGAAATAAAAAGAAACCCATCAAGTTCAAGCCTGCACCGACCAGTATCATGGTGAATTTGTAAAGCAGTAACAAACTAAAAGTGCGTCGATAATGAGATTCGATATCATAGAGCTGCCATAACAGACATAACAGAACCAGGCAACCAGCGGTTGATTTTTTCATACATCACATGGTGCAGACAAAGAAAAGCAAAGACGGACTGTATCAATTCTAAACTATAAGCAGACAAGTTTGTACAGAATTCTTTGATTAAGACGATAGACTAGAAAATAATAACAACTAATGATCTATATACATAGATAATCTAAAACTTCTAATATGTATAAAAACAAAAATGATACACTTTATGTGAATCAGAACACTCCATGTGGTACTTTGACCATATGGAAGAACTATTTCAAAAGCATCATTTCTGGATTTACAGAAATTAAGAGAAGTCAAAGATAATGAGGATAGAAAGGCGGAGTATGTACTCACTCTTAACATCACTTTCTTCAAATGAAACCATCCTGTTAACCAGAACTTGAAACTTCAACTACCAAATAACCTGACAATAAAAACACAAATATATACATGATGGAGCAGACGGTTGCATCAGTACTCATCTCTTCAGTGGCATCGTAATTTTTGCAAACTCAAAACAAACATAATTAAGCAGCATAAATACTCAATACTGCACCGAATCACTTCCACAAACAAATACTCCTACTCACTGCTAGATAGATCATATATGCAAAAGACTGATACGATTTTAAAGTTCAAAACCTAAAATAATTGAAATATAAGGAGAAACGAAATTACAGGCTCAACAGCCATTGCTATTGCTGCTAATCTTTGAACTAACAATATTGCAAATGCAATAAAGTTCATAAAATTTCTTATATCTAACGCTGTCAATCATTCAAGTAGATGCGAGTAAGAGAATTGTCGTATTTCAGCAACAGCGTGATCATACAAACCACATTATCAATCCGAATAACCGAAAAATGAGTCAGACGCTAGAAAAAAGCACAAAATCTCTACAACCAACGAAGTAGTAAATTGACAAAAAAATCACGAGAATTTGAAGCTTATCTTACGAGAATTGACAAATTTCACCGAAATACCAGTACGCACAAGTAATGTTTGTATCTAAACATCAATAATCATCGAATAGGCCGTGAATGTGTGAATGTTTATACGATATGCGTACGCTTGTGAAGTGCAAAATGGATATACAGAGAGGGGAAGAAGAGCATGGAGAGTTTACCTGTATGTCAGAGAGGAAGAGCTTCAACAGAAAGGCGCGGTTGGCATTTCTGTTTTCAATTAGCTACTATATATGAAGCCTATCCGACGTGGATATAGGTTTATTTTCCTTTAATGCATTTGAAATGATTGGATCGTATAAATATGTGTTTTACCCGAAAAACGAATTGAGTTAAATTTTTACGTAGTTCTAAGGTATGTGGTATAACTTGACACAAATGGTAAGAATGAATAGAAATATCAAGAATTGACTATAGAGAATGAAAAATAAACAAAGTTGGGAAGAGAATAATTTACAGATTAGGCAAGATAAATCAATTTATCAAGCTAAAAAAGGGTAACTCTTCAATATATGAGTGTATGATATCTCAATTATAATGTATGGAAAAACTTGGTCCTTTCAGAAATAATAATCATCCTCTTTATAGTGGAGGGATCCTACTTTAGATATAATTAAAAATATATAGTGGGAGACCCATGATAAATCAGTTTTTCCATAATTCGTGTCGGGATTCTCTCCTCTAGTGGGATTGCAACTGCTCTTGTCTATGAGCTCGATATTGATTCGAGCTTGGTATTGACTCGAGCTCTCGATCTTGACTCGAGTTCGATTCTCACCCGGCTCCTTATATTGATTCAGGGTCAGTGTTGGTCGGTTTCTGCCTCATAAGCTCGATAACTTCACTTTGCATCATAGTTCGATTTGGATTCGAGCTCGACATTGATCGGTTCCTAGGGCTCGAAGCTTGGTGACTTGACTTCGGACCTCAACCTGAATATGAAGATGCTTCTCCAATCTAATGCATTACTATTTCGACCTGTTCGTACGAAGGACTAACCGGTTTTTACCGTATACAGATAGTCCCCTCGTTTCTCGGGAAGGATGTAGCGAGAAACGACATGATTTCTCGACTGCTCGATCAGAAATAAGCTGGCGTTTACAATGGGATCGATCATGAAGCACGTGATAGCTGTCCTGTCGGATTAGTTTTTCAAGGCATTTAATGCGTGTCAGACGATGGTCGGCCATTATCGAAATGAACTGCCATTGGTATACCTATAAATAACCCCCTTTTTCACTTTTGATCACTTTTACATCTTCAAACTCTAAATTTTCTAACTTCTTTCTCACTCTTTCTGAATTCACTCGCAAAATTATGTGATTCTTCTGTGCAAAATCTTTCTTCAAAAACACCGCTTCTCTGTTACTTCCTTCTTTTTTCAATCTTTAAATCCAGAAATGGCGAAAACATCAAATACCATTCCTCAAAAATAAAAAAAGCCTCTTCTTCACAATTTGCCGCCGGCAAAACACCGGTGGAGCCACGACCTGAGGAGTGCGTTCTTGGGGCGTGTATTCTTACCTCCGATTTTAAGGTCAATAAAGGCTCGTTGGTTCCCTGCCGATGTGATCCAGTATCGAGGTATATGTGTTCGATAACCGAGAGGCACCTCGAACAACTAAAAAAAGATTGCAATTGGGAGAACAAAGAAATAGCAATCCCGTCTTCTGAAGAAGATATCACCACTTATGTGAAAGGGTTTTTAAGTGTGTATACTTACCCTTTCACATTAGGTCCACTCGATCCCGTTATTATTGATTTCTGCCGCCAATACCAAATAACCCTAGGCCAGATCCATCCATCTTTTTGGCGGATCATCATTTTGATCCGTTATTTCGTGAACAAAATCGAGGGGATGCCTTTCACCCTCGATCATCTCATCTGATTGTACTGCCCTCACCTCTTTCGAGGTAGATTAATAAAACTTCAGCGTCGGGCTACCAAAGTTCTGTTCTCGAGTATAAATGAGGACAGGGATCGAGGTTGGATGGGCAGGTTCGTTCGAATAAAGACTTCAAGCCTGATTCCGACTGAAAAGATGCCTTTTTCCGAGGAGTGGAACATGAAGCGTAAGTGTAATTCTGTCGTTATCTTCTGCTATTTTTCCTCTTAATTCCTTTTCTTACCGACATCCCCCTTCTTGTGATGCAACATTTCCCTGGATGCCCGGTGCAGTCCCCGATCTCAAGAACTGGGTTCGGGATCTATCTTCCACCTCCACATACGCCGAGAGTTTGTGGCGTGATTTATCCAAGGGCCGATGGGAGGCCAAAAATCATGGTGAGCCTCTTTCTTGTATCTTTGGTAGGTCGAAGGAGATGCTTTCTATATGCTTAAATTAATTTTCCTGTATGTAGATATGGGCAAAGATGCAGTTTTGAGGCCTTCATCCATTGAGGAAGAGGCTTCGGTCTCTGATCCAAAGCCGGTGAAAGATAATAAGAGAAAAAGGGCCTCTGCTTCCGAAGACCCAAAACCGAAGGCGAGGAAGAATACCATCCCTTTAACCATGGAATCAGTTCTGCATCTAAGGGATGAAGACGAGGAAGAAGAAGAAAATGATGGGTCCGTGTTGGTGGCCCGAACGAAGAAAACCATCGATTCCCCTAAGGCAGTTGCGTCGATGATGATTTATAAAGTTCCGCCTCGGACTGAGGAGATATCCGAGGAAGGTTCGGGCAGAGTCCCCAAACCGTTAGAGATCGAGGATGCTTCCTACCAAAGTCAACAATCGGTGGGTATATCAAAAGAGACCGATTCTGAAGCTCTCTGAACTTAGGAGAACTCCCCAAGCGATTCACTTGGGGCAATAGTAATCGGGGACTCGCCCAATCTCCATGCTTTTTTCGAAGGGGCGATTCGGGATGCCCAAGCTTTGGGGGCCCATGAGATAAACTGATCACATGAAGGGGAGGACCCCTTCTGTGATTTGTTTACTGGTGTTGAGGATGTTGTTGGCACTAGTGATGCATCGGATCTTTTCCTCAGAGTGCAGCAGGCTTTGAATCGGGTAAGCCTTAACTTACTTCGTTGCTAATGCCTTTACATTTGTTTTTCTTTTCTA